GACGCTGTTTTCGGAGCCAGTTTCACAGGTCTTATATACCGACGAGCGACCACCGCTCGCCGCATGACCCGACCTCCTGGCAACCCGCTTTTTGGCCACCTGTGAGGATCGAACCAAGTGCCGACACTCGTCACCCCGGGTAGCAGCTATTATAACTAGGCAGAGTTCCAGCTCAAGGCTGAGCTCAGGTTTCCCACGCAATATGTTTTTATAAGATTTATATTTGTTTCATGGTGTGTCTTACACCAAATAAGCAGGGCGGGTTGCGGTTGAGGCGGCGATATCTGCCTTTAGAGCCCTACATCATGGAAACTCGTTATGTGACCCATACCGACCTCATTAAGATAACTGTTTTAAGTAAATAACTCGGCGAAACTCAGTGGATTGTGGTTAAGGCGACCGTATCTGCCTTAGAGCCTGAACTTATTTAAAAGTCAAAATTCGGTTCAATTATTTGAACAAATTTAGGTTAGGAGAGTAAGTTATATAGTGGGCATATAGCATTTGCACTTTGACATAGTTTTTTAGATCATAATTTCTAATGACATACACCTCTCTTTCATCTCGAAGATCAAGAGACAAAGAAAAACTTCTCCGTTTTCTTCTCAAAGATCAACAAAACATGCCGCAATGTTGTCTGCTAAAAACAAGTGCACCAACATTCCCCGTAGAAGTTCCACTTCATGACAAATGTTGTAATATTTCTAAAGATCTTTGTTTTAGACTCAGAATTTACTCCCTATTGTTCAAAACATTAAGTCCTTGCAAATTTCGTACTTTATATCCACCGCAAGTTTTGATCTCATAGCAGTTCTGACAACATCCCTGTCTGTCAAGTTGGCCAAACTGGGGTTGCGGCCTCGATCGGGATCGCGACCATCGGGTGTCAACCCAGCCTGGAAAATGTGGCATCGCTAAGTCTAAGTTTAGGTAGCGGTAAAGATTCCGTTCGCTCAGCCAACCACTACAGTTAGGCTTTCCCACGAAAGAGCTCGGCTTGAACTCCACTGCCGTAGAAGAGCGGGGAGTGGCTTACCCGGTGCATTTTTGTTTATCTACCTCCGCTATAAACGAGCTGCGGCTTCTCATATGAGGCGTGATTCTCGCGGACTTGGGGCGTGAGGTTCTGCTAGGTAGCTTTGCGGCGTCGGGGACGAGGGAGCTCCTCAGCTCCTCCAAGTGCCCGAGGGAGGGTGACAATGAGCGGCCGCAGCGCTGTGAATTTCGCTCCTTGCCCAAGGAAAACACGGAGTGAGAAACAAAACAAATTGTGTAGCAGTTTTTCGTCAAAATAGAGGGGAAAAGGACTGAAATTCCTGGACTAGTTTTTATTAGCATCAAATTTAAATGAAACTTTATAAAATCAGTCCACAATTTTACAATCGAGGAATGGCGAACCAGTCGGCATCATCAGAACCTGGTGGTACAGTATCATCCCGCATCTCCTGGTGGCAGCCCAGTGAACACCACGCGCAACGATCTTTTGTGTAGCAATAGCTTTTCACGTAGGTGGAAAACTCCAGCTCGGGGTTCAAGGACATGAGTTGCTGCACCGCGCCCCGGTGCAGCGCGTCGTGCGCACACTCGATAATTATTGAGAATATGTTGAGGGTGCGCAGGGCCGGCGCGGTGGCGGGCGAGATGGCGAGCAGGAAGTCGTCGCTGGCCTCGCCTCGCACCTCCAGGTTCTTGAGCGCCGGCAGGCGGGGCAGCGCCTTGAGCAGAGACTGCTCCTCAGGCAAGTGGGGGTCAAAATCCTCGAAATCCAGAGACAGTTCCTCCAGGCAGGACCGCCCGGTCGCGGCCAGAGCCAGCACAAAATCCATGTCGGGGGAAGGGGCTATGCCGATCTTTGGTTCATACTCGAGCGCCACCTTGACCAGTTGGGTGGCTCGGCGAAGAAACTCGGCGGCGGTGCGGGCCTCGCCGTCGTATTTCACGTAGAGTTCTATTTCCCTCAGCTGCTTGCACCCGGCCACGGCCTCCAGCCCGGGCATCATGCCACACTCCAGCCTACGAAGGTTTGGCATTCCCGCCAGGATCTGTGCCGTTGACGTCGAGGTCAGGGGGTGTTCGTCGAGTTCAATCGACTCCAAGGTGGCGGCGTGTGTGGTCAGGATGAAGTCGCCGAATGGCTCCGCCTCCGGGGTTTGCGGATCGTGCTTGAAGCTCTTCAGAGAAGCACCGGGCAAGGACCTGTGAAGACCCGCCAAGAAGGAGGGCGGGTAGCGCCGGAATCCTGTAAGCTCTAGCT